CACATTTAACTTATATCCAAAGACCAGTAAAACTTTCATAAAAATAAGGAAAATATTTTTAATAAAATGATTCATAAAATTTTAGAGAATGTTAAAATGGAAACTGAAAAACTACTGATTTCACACATTGAAACTTGGGGATAAAGAAAATACCAGTTAGGCTACTCAATAATAAATAACAATTCTCAAGGATCCCTAAATATCCAAATGTAGTAAATTGTGTGTACACTCTATCCTTAAGTTTTTATTAGGCTCATTCATTTAACAATGGTCTTTTACTTTAAGTTGTTGGATTTCCCTTATATTTTGGTAAATTTTAAAAATTGGGCTTTAGATTTGGGGTCAACAAACATTTTTCATTGAGGGCCGGACAGTAAATATTTTAGACTTTTTAGGCTAAATACTGTCTCTTTTGCATATCCACATTTGTTTTTTTGTAGTCTTTAAGAATCCCTTAACAAATGTAAAAATTGTTAGCTCAATCCCTATAAAACAGGCTACAGCCAGATTTGCCCTTGGCCAGTTTCCCCACCCCTGCTTTACACTATATATATTATCTTTTTGTTACAATGTCAATTCCACTGATATTTTTCTTCCTTCAAATATTTGTTCAAATGTCACCTTCTCAGAACACATTCCTACCTGTCACCACATATATATAACATCACATATAATGCATAGTATATCAACTAACATTTTTTTCATCTGATCTTTGTCTCCTCACCTCCATGCCTGCCCACCACCACCAAAATACATTCTATGAAGGCAGATAGTTTTTTTCTCACTGATGCATCTTCTGCCCTTGGAACAGTGTCAGGCATATCAACAGGTGCTTAATAAATCTACCTTCACACTTGGGAAGTAAATACTACGGAGGAAATACATAGTATCCTAATATAATAATTTCATGAGTGAAAAAATACTTGAGGACAAGATTGACAGATACTTTCACTTGAAAATTGTTTCTAGTTATAAAACATTTTAAAGGGAAAAAAGGTTCAAAATTAAAGCATTTTCCTACTGTCTCATAATGAGGTTATCTCTTGTACAATAACTCCCTGTAAGTTTACAATGACTTTAGCTTATTTAATAATATATTTCAATTGTCATTCCTAAACCCCTCCACAGACCTGTTCTGCCTCTTTGATCTCATGGTAAGTATTCCCTGCCCATTCAACTCACTGATCCAGTCTGGCAACTTTAAAGTTCAGCAAAGCAGGGAAGTTACTTTGCCTCATCTATGGCTCCATTTCCCAATATACCCTTTTATTAAACTTCCTAATATTGTAATCTTTCCTACTTTGTCTTTACTATTCAATATAAAGCAAAAAGCTGATTCTATTGAATGCTATTATCAAAATACATTATTCTCAGTGATTAATGAGACTTAAAAGTTACATTTATTATATATGGTTTTACAATTTTTACCTATTTAAAAAAAAAAAAAAAAAAAAAGGACAAGATTTGCTTTACCATCACCCTGATATATTCTTGACAAGGTGCTGAGGAAATAACTTTGGGAATTTAGTAATCGCCACCACCATTCAGATTATGGCTACTATATTTCTAAACTTATATTAAAACATAAAAACCCACTAAAGAATAGTTTCTTCTACTGCTATCACTAATAAATTGATACTTGATAGCTATTAGTAAATGATAACTGAATGTATTAATATCAATGTGGGAGTTAAGTCACACTAGAGATCACGATAAGATATTCTAAAATCAAACTGCAACTGGTGATAAAAGAGGGAATGCTTACAGCAAAGGAAATTTGTTTTAAAAACCCTTTTATCCAACAAGTTACTCTTCACCTACTATTTTCTAAATGACTACAATTCTGCCATTCTTATCAAACAAGCAACAAAGTCCAATTTTAAAATCCAAGTCAGTTGTTAAGGGTTAAGATGACTCTTCCAGCCAATTCTTTATAGACACAATTCTGTACTCCTAAAAATACTAAGAATGTAATTTTGAAAAAAACTAGCATAGTAAAAACTGCTACAGAATTTTCTAAAAATTACTTTCAACTGTTTTTGTGTTCTAAATTATCACAAAATCAAATTAATTTCAGTGGAACTAAATCAGGGCAAAACCTCCTTATAGAGCTAGCTTGTAATCAAGAACCAAATTGATTCTCTTTTTTGTTCTTAAAAAAGCTAGTTGACTCCCAAATTAAGGCACTTTATACCATATGTCCCTGGAGAATAACATGGCCCAACACACCACATGTCCCACTTAATCTAGTTCAAAGGAGTAACATAACGTGAGAAACTGCACTGTGTAATTCTTTTATTTTCTGCATATTAGTGCTTTACCAACACTACAACCATTAAGAACACAATTCCAGGTACTTTACTTTTTAGTTTGGGGCAATCAGTCTACAGACTCATTTACTTATATTAGACAAGATTAACCTCATTCAAAACTTACTGTAGTTTATAAATTCACATAAATACAGAAATTGATGCAATTAAACAAAAACTTCAGGATCTCATTTTTAAAATTCTTAGGTTAACTGTTGTGGCAGTTTATTAATTACTTGCCCCATGATCAACATTGTTATGGTCCAATTTAACTACAAGTATCAGCCTTTTATATCCTTAAAAATGTAAGTGAAAATTACAATTTACCAAAAGGTTTAGGACCTTCCAAATTTCAAATATTTGCTTCCCCCCTTACCACCCCCTTCAGTTATTTGACATTTCAAGTAAACTAAAAATAACATCTCACCTGCAACATTCAACAGCAATCACTTGATTATATAAAATTTTAACTACACCCCGTTATTTTAAGACACAAAAAAATGGCTGCTTATCAATCTAACTCATAAGTTAGAAATACTACATTTAAGAATTAACACGAGGGTTTCAAGTTTCCTCCAGTTTAGGCATTTATACCTTTGTGCTTGTCTTGTTTCACGATGTTATTATAGCATTGATATTTGTATTACCCATGTATGTACCTTAATGTAATAATTTAAAACACTAAGATTTATGGTGGAGCTTGGGAATCTTAAAAGCAACTAAAATGTTCTTAGATGTGGCTCCCAGCTTCATTTCTAGAGGTACGCCTACTAAAGTGAAACTGAGAATTTTATACTTTTGTTGTATTTTTAGTTAAAAAAAAAAACCCTCTGCACTATCAGGAGCCTGCAAGCATAGCACCTTTGCTCATCTGCTTTAAGTAAAATGTTTAAGAATTTTACTTTGAATAATTTTTTATAGCTTTATGCTTCTCATACATCTTTGGTAAGAGCTCCATTATACAATATGGCCAAAGCATGAAGGACCAATACTGTCCAACTATATACCATGATATCCTGCTCAATTTTAGTTTTCATATACCCTCATAAAACCCACATCTTTTCCTGTATACTGCCTTTGCAGTCTACATCTCTGAAATTCCCTAAGTTTAATTCCTTGAGGATCTCTAAAATTAATCCTTAAGGCTATGTAAGAACCAGATGCTGCTTCACAATTCTTTATCAGGCATTGACATTTGGTTCAAAATATTTCCATACTGGTCTCAATAATCTATTTACTGGTCCTAACCAACTAAGCAAGTAATCTGGTTAGGACCTGGATATCACCAAGTGAGCACACTGCTTACCCTTGAAGAAAAATAAGCTTACATTCATTGTCATCTGTAGGTTCTTTCTCTTTATCCTACTTCCCCTTTAATTGCCACCCCTCAAGTTTACACATCATTCATTCATCACGTTTCCTTCCCTAAAAGATACTGTATCACCGAACCAACAGAATATCTGACTTACTATTTGCATGAGTTAATCCTATAATCAGACAGAATTAAATACCTTTTTTATAAAACATCTTTTCCAGTGTTCTTATTGAGGTGTGGATCACTCATCTATAAAAATGCTTTTATCTTTAATCAGTTGCTGTAATGTGATGTGAAAAAAGGAATGTATATTTTTCCAACCAGGTAAAAGGTGCATACAATTTGAATTGTTAAATGCTTTATTAATGAACCAAGTAAACATTCTAGTAATTTAAAAACTATTGGACTTAAGATATTTGAAAAATGGTAAAAGTATATATTCCAGTTTTGCCCAAAAGTCCCTTAAAACAGCTACAAATATTTCAACTATGTGTGGATACACCATTATTGCTCCATTTTCTGGAAAGAGTTTTTAAAGTTGAAAAAGGGAAAACACAGCAAAAGATGTTAACTTTGCAGTGAAAAATCTGTTCTCAATGGATTACAATTTCATATTTTTATGCACTGTAAGTTAGCTATGTAATGGGGACTTTGAGTTTTATCCCTACTCATGCATGATGTTTCAAAACTTAAAGGCTGGCATTTCAAAGAACTTATATTACCTGTTTAATATACTGATGTGCAACTGGAATATTTTCCGATATTACTCATTATTTGCCCCTGTGGGCTAAGTTTACTATACTGGTCTTAGGTATAAAAGGTGACATTTGAAATTACTAAGTTAGAAATCATAAGGGAAAGGGAAAAGGCTTTAAATATAAAAGACAAACGGCAGTTTGATTAAGCAATAATTTTCAGTTTACTAGATGAAACAGACTTGCAACATAGTCTGCATTAATGCAAAATAAGCCATCTACAGCAAATGGTAAGGAAACTGGGCAAAAAGGTGGGGGGGGGGAAGCATACAATGGGGAAAAAAAATCTCTCAAAATAAAAAAAATCATACCATTATTATAAAGGACTTTTTACCAAGAACTGCTATATTTTCCCCCATCCCATTTGCTGGAAGTTAACAAGAGCCTCTAGCACTTTGTGTTCATGTCAAATGTCAGATCAGAGCATCCTAACGCAAAGCAAAAAAAAAGAAACAAAAAGGAAACTCCCTAACCGGCCCCCCCACCCCCAAACCGTAGAACAGTAACTCCAGAGTTTCAAATTCAAGAGAAAGTGGCAATTGAAAGAGGTGATGGTGGCGATAATCCTATGAATGGGTGTTTGATTTCTCTCCTTCCGGGGGGATGGGTGGAGAACGCTCATTAGGATTTGTAGTTAGAGGTTAACCATGTGAGCCCCTCATAGAGTCCGTCCCCCGTGGTGGCACAGGAGGGCTGCACATACCAGTTCCTGTCCCGAATCCGGGTCAGGCCCAGTTTCTCCTGGATCTCGTGGGGTTTCATGGCATCGGGCAGGTCCTGCTTGTTGGCGAAGATGAGGATTATGGCGTCCCTCATCTCCCGGTCATTGATAATGCGGTGCAGCTCCTGGCGGGCCTCGTCGATGCGGTCGCGGTCGGCACAGTCCACCACGAAGATCAGGCCCTGGGTCCCGGTGTAGTAATGCCGCCAGAGCGGCCGGATCTTGTCCTGGCCGCCCACATCCCACACGTTGAACTTGACGTTTTTGTAAGTCACCGTCTCCACGTTGAAACCCACGGTGGGGATGGTGGTCACCGACTGGCCCAGCTTCAACTTATACAGGATCGTGGTCTTGCCGGCCGCGTCCAGGCCCAGCATGAGGATCCGCATCTCCTTGTTCCCGAAGATCTTGGATAGCACCTTCCCCATCGCGTCGGAGGAGCCGGGGCCGGGGGCATTCAGGTGTCCCGGGTCCCCTCAGCCAACAACGCCGCCGCCGCCGCCGCCGCGAAACCCAAACGGAGCCTCTCCCGCCGCGAGGGCGCCCGTGGGGCCTAACGTGGGAGTTGCCTCTTCGGGGCAGAGGCCAGGCCCGCCGCTCACTCGGGCATCACCGGCCGCACAACTTTGATTCCTCCACTCGCCGCCGCCGCCGCCGCCGGGGCCGACTCTGCGACGGGAGAGCCGCCGCCCTGCTGAGGCGCGGCCCGGCCCGGAACTGCCCTTCCCCCCTTCGGGCGCCGCGCGAGCGCCGCCGGTTCCCGCTCCGCCGCCGCCGCCTCCCGACGCCGCGGGAGACTACGACCCTCCGGCCCGCGAGCACCGGCTCCCCACCGACCCAGGCCACCGAGAGGCAGCGAGGCTCCGGCAGCTCGTCAGGCTCATGGATCCTCGCGGGAACTCGGTGCGCCGCCTGCAGAGACACAGAAAGCGAGAGGGAGTTACTGCCGGGGGGGTCCCGCGGGGAGCAGGGGGGCCGAGGCGGCCCGCCTTTCCAGCACGGCCCGGGAGATTACCTCCAGCCGCCGCCCCGAGCGCGGGCTCCCTCCGGCCGCCGCCGCCTCCTCCCAGCACTGCCGCCGCCGCCGCCGGAAAAGGCGCCGAAGAAACCGCCTCACTTCCCCTCCCGACCACGCACGCGCAGCACGGAGCCGATCGTTCGGGCCAGAGCGACCTCTGTCAGAAAGGCGCCCGCGCGCCCCGCGTCAGCGGCGCCACGCGCTGGGGGGCGGGGCTACGGCGGCCCGGAGGGCCCACAGGTGCGGCCGCTTCCGGGACCCGCGCGCCTCCCGCTCCGGCCGCCGTGCCCACCTGTCGCCGCTCTAGCGTGTCCTCCAATCTCTGCTGTTTCCCAACATCCCCACCCGAACTAGAGGAGCAAAACCGTGGCTGCGGGGTGCGGGGAGGCTGCACAGGATGGGGCGCGGGGTTGCCCGCTCCCGGGACGAGCGCCTCTCCATGCGGCTTCCAGTCTTGTCTCCGACCTCGTTGCCCGCCAGATGCTCCCCGTGGTCCCGCCACGCCGCCCCTGCCTCCGCGCTCCCTCGGTGCATCGGGGAAAGCCCTGCCTGGTGCTTTTACCTTCCCCCTGCCCTTCCCCGGCCACCTCTCTTCCCCGTGCTCCGTGCGCTTCCTGAGAGACACGTGGGAGACAACTGTTTCCTGTGGAATCGGCCAGTGAGTGCCGTGTTTTTAGTAGCGTGGCTGTGCGCTGAAGCCCATCTTTTTAAAATGTCTTTATCCATCTCGTCCGTTTCCTAAAAGCTAAAGGATTATCAAGAGTTCTGTGCCATGTGGCACGTTCCACTTTTTAGAATGTGGTAACTGTTCATATTGAAGTATATCCGTGTAGGGTTGTTAGTAGTAGTAGCTTCTCACCCACCACCCGTTATCAACTTGAAGAGCCGTAGAGGATATCATCTTAGCATAGGATTGAGAATCAGAGAAACTAACGACTTCTGTGGCCTGCATCTAGGCGTTTAACATTTCTAAGTTCATCTCATGTTGTAACAGTGGAATACTGGCCTTGCTCTCTGCATGCCATTTGAGGCTTAAACACTATTAGGGGACCTCATATTAGGGGAAACGTTAGGGAACTTTTGTGTGCCAAAGTTAAGCTTAAAGGTAAAATGATGTGAAACTTGGAATAAATGAACCAAGGGAAAGAGCAACAGGAATTTTTTTTAAGGAAGATAGTGAACAGCATACGGTACACATACTTTGCACTTGATATTTAAGAAAATGTAATGATGGTAGATAGGTTAAATGATAACCATAAGCTTCACGCATGAGATGAAAGTAACTGAAGTTATTAACATTGGGACAATGATCTGACTTAATTTCCATCTGCCTTAATATGCACTTAACCCGAAGAGCCCTGTGGGATAGCTAGCAATAATATGGGCCCTTTACACTTAAAGAAACTGCACTTTCTGAGGGATCTCAAGGCCTCACAGCAACTAAAAGGAGGAGCCAGGATTCAAATACAGCCTGATTCAGAGCCTTGTGCCCAAGCCACAGAACTAGACCTCCTTGGGGAAAATGCCCTGGCCAGGAGCCTCACTTTTCTGCCAGCTGTACGTGGACAGCCCTCCTAGCCGTCCTTCCTCTTGAGGCAAAACAGGAAACAGAAAGCCAGCCTTTCTCCTGTGTCCCAACATCCAGAAGGGTCAAATGGAGGCTGCTTGAAGAGTGAGCTGGCCTTTCTTGGGGAAGAACAGATTACCCATGTCTCTGTCGCCCCCTCCTGCCCAAAAGGAGAATTTCACATGCCCACAGTCCTCCCCCACCACACCAGAAAGCAGATGCTCAATGCACAGGCATGGAAACATGGAACAGACTGAAGAATCTCAGGAGGAAGTGAGGAAGGGGGAGGGCGGGAAGGGATTAACCAAAGATCTTACATGCATACTAGAGGCCCGGTGCCTGGGTTGGTGTCCCTCAGCCTGGCCTGTGGGGATCAGGCCGAAACCGGCATCCACATCCCCCAGGGGATCCCAGATTGCTAGAGGGCAAAATCGTACACCGGGCCTCTAATTTTACATATATATATATATATATATATATATATATATATATATATATATATATATATATATGTCAAGTGCACTCTTGAGTTCCTCGTAAATCTAACATGCTATGTTTGTCCTAGAGCCGTGGTCAACAAACTGTGGCTCACAAGCCACATGTGGCTCTTTGGCCCCTTGAGTGTGGCTCTTCCACAAAATACCACAGCCTGAGCGAGTCTATTTTGAAGAAGTAGCGTTAGAAGAAGTTTAAGTTTAAAAAATTTGGCTCTCAAAAGAAATTTCAATCATTGTACTGTTGATATTTGGCTCTGTCGACTAATGAGTTTGCCGACCACTGGCCTAGAGGCTCTAGGCTGCCTGCCTTCAAGGACTGCCAATAGGACAAACCAGACTAAGCTCAATGGAAATGGACATTAATTGTGCCATGCAGGCTGCCCTCAGGGACAAGGAAGTCCCAGCACTGGAGAGACCAGAAAAGGAGAAAGAAGCAAATCTGTTATTTATCAATTTAATTACTAAGATCGGGCATCAAGCCTGGCACTGTTGCTCAGCAGTTGAGGCAGAGAAGCAAGCACCACAAGCCACAGAGCACTTTCTATAAAGGAGGCATAGTTACCAATCCCCAGAGGATACAAACTTTCTCCTGGACCTGAACTTTAAAAGAACTCTTCACACGTGACCCTATTTGAGGGATAGTAAGGACACAGCAGCCTCCACAAGTTTTATGGCAAAAGCAGAAGTGTTTTATGTGGCCATTTCTTCCAAAAATCTTGGAGGGAAGCCAAGGGTACACCAGATAGCATTGCAGCTCAGTAATGGTATTTAGTTTTTAGGCAAGAAGTGAATTTGAGTATATTAAAAGGAAAAGTCAAACATGCTAAGTAAATTACACAGGCGGCAAGACCATAATAAAGTGCACTTGGCTTCCTCTTAGCTGGGTCACAGGTGGATATACAAACAAGCCTTTCCTTTTCGAGGTATGGACTGACTCTCTCACCTTGGGGCCAACAGCTGATGTCTTTGCCGGCCTGACTCCTACACCCTGGCCTAGGGGCACTCTGGTATGAAAAGGCCAATTTAGCCATTCCTACCATTAGCCACTGTAAGGCAGCATTGAGCCAGTAACTGAAAAGCAAACTCAAAAATTCCCTTTGTAAGCAAAGTTGTTCAGCTTGTATGCAATTCTACCAATCTAATTATATAAATCTTGAAAATCCAATATTGAGCTGCTGTTTTCATAATGTAAAGGTGTAAAAATGGAAACAGTGGCTCCAATAGTAGGAATTTTCTCAGATTCTTTTTTAATCAGATTTTTTTTTTAAAAAGTCAATCCATCCTATGAGATCAAAGAAATGCTAACTTTTTGTGAACGCAAATTGTGCTGTTTTACACCACCTACCGTTTTATTTAATATTACAAGAACTCTGAGGTCTCATCATCACCCCACCAAGCATAGGAAGAAACAGGCAACTAACCTACTCCAGTGCCTCCTCTAAGGTCACTAAACCAGCCTTGAAAAGCTAGTATTACGAGCGGGACTTATGCTAATGGGCATGCGCAAAAGACCCCAAGGCGCTTGGAGCGTCCCCAGTGGTCAATAGGCCTCAGTGCAATTGAGAAGTTCAACCACATTCAGCTTCTAGCCCCGCCTCTTCCTCCCAGCGCGGACATTGATTGGCAGGCGGCGGGCTAGAAGAATTTGAACTTGAGCGCTAAGCTCTCCTGCACTTGCGTCAGTTAGGAAGCTTGGTTCTTCGTGAAAGAAAGGCGGAGGAGAGCTGAAAGCACTTTCTACGGCCACGGAGCCCGAGTCACCGAGCTTTCCAGCCTCATCCTAGGCGATGACGTGACCCGGAAAAGGACAGGTCACCGGGTCCAGAAGGAAGTTGATGGGCTTAGGGATGCCACGCTTTGGTTTGACTGTCCTACCTGCTGAGAGAACCCCCTCCATAAAGAGGCCTAGCATCACCTGGGGAAGTTCCCTGACGCCATAGCGTTATGTTGCGGAGCCGGGTCCTCTGGGTTCAGGGTTAAAGGTGTAAAAACCAGACCTGATACCAGACCTCGGCCTTCCGTACTCAGCTGGGTCCCTGGGTTCCCATCTCAAGACCTGAACTCCTATACCTGTACCTGGCAACCTGAAAGATGCATACTAACTGTGAATTAAAGGGAAGACAGAGGCTTGTGGAGGTGGGGAGGGCAGGGTAAGTTTGTGGGCATACTACAGTGGGGAGAGCATTTGCTGGGCCAGGGACTGGGTTGCAGACCTGGCTGTGCTGATCATTGCTGTTGAGCAAGTTCCTCTGCCTGTCTGGGCCCTATTTACTCAAGATTAAAGGAGAGTTTGGACTCGGATAAAGGATATGTTGAATGCCAACAATGAGCAAGGCATTGTGGTAATTACTGGAGATACAGGTGAGCAAAACAGACAACCCTGATCCTCAAACTTACTGTGTGGAGAGGGGGAAAAGATAATTAAAGCACTATCACAAACACATAATTACACATTGACTTTTTAAAAAATTCTTACCCGAGGACATGTTTATTGATTTTCAGAGAGAGAAGGGAGAGAGACAGACACACACATTATTGGTTGCCTCCCATACATGTCCCAATCTGGGATCACATCCTAGCTATGTGCACTGACCTGAATCCAACCGGTGGCCTTTCTGTATAAGAGATGACACTCCAACTAACTGAGCCACACAGGCCAGGCCTACACATCTACTCTTAAGAAGTGATACAGGAAACTTACACAGACATTTAATAGAACCTCGTGTGGGCTTCTTAAAGCTGAAAGTAGAATTTAACTGGGATAGGTAGTCAATGGCCCAAAGAGAGGGAGGATAGCAGTGCAAAGAACTGGAAAGGGAACGATAAACATTTATTTTAATTGGAGATCATAATAACCCTCAAAATATATAAGAAGGTTGGAAGCTTCAGTGAATTACATTGAAGTTGGGGGGATCTTTGGAAGTCCATAACTATTTCAGTTCTATGAACATATGTGGTGGCCCCTGACCCAGTGTCCTGACATGAGTGTTCCAAACGATTGTTGAATGTGATGTGAACATTCCAAGTTCCAAGATGCATGTTGGGTGGTAACTGTAATCTGACTTTGATGGATGTCTCCTGGCTGTTTCAGAAGAGCTAAAAATATTAGTGATCTCTTGAAGCAATCCATGTCTACCTCATGCTTAATTATCCAAGCTTGTTTGCAAAGATAAAGAAATGAAGAGCCGAAATCGGTTTGCCTCAGTGGATAGAGCGTCTGCCTGCGGACTGAGAGGTCCCGGGTTCGATTCTGGTCAAGGGCATGTACCTTGGTCGCGGGCACATCCCCAGTAGGAGTGCAGGAGGCAGCTGATCAATCTTTCTAAGTCTCTATCCCTCTCTCTCCCTTCCTCTCTGTAAAGTCAATAAAATATATTTAAAAAAAAAAAAAAAGAGAGATGAAGAAGTGACTTGTAAAGTGCCAGAGGAAGAAATCAAGGAATGGTCACTGTACCTTACAAAAGTACTTGTGTAGAGGGGACACCATGACATGGTAGAAGTGAGGTAGCAAGCAGACCCTGCATTGCCCTACATTAGCTGTGTGAACCTGGCACTCAGTCTCTCTGAGCAAGTTTCTTGATATAGGCATACTGATTTTTATTGCACTTTATTGCACATCTCAGTTGTTGTATTTACAAATTGAAAGCAAAATAACAAAAATTGAAGGCAAGACACCATCAGCAAAAAGATTTTGAATCACTTTATTGTGGTGGACTGGACTGAATATGCAATACCACTGAGACATGTTTATAAACAGCACTAATTATGTGTTACTGACATGGTAAAGTTCAGAATGGGAAAACATGTGAAAGTTATTTCTAAACTATAAAGTGCCACCCAGCCAAATCAATAATTACCTGGCTCACACTATTCCTTCAGAATTTTACTCTCTATGCTCCTTCAAATTATGAAGGAGCGAGGGTTTGACCAATTTTATTTGAATTTGTAGCAACATGCCAAGTTGCTTTGTTGTATAATTATTTTGCTTTCATCTTAGTGTTTTTTTCAAAAGGTGGTTTTAAAATTTCACTTGTGGGTGTATTCTGCTTCTTGGAAGCACTTCTGTGTCTTGCCTTCCCCCAAGCACATTTCCTTTGCCTTTCTCTCTCCTGAACAGAGGGCTCTTCTGCCCCTGCAACTTGTTTCCTTAGTTTACCCAGCCCAGCTGGCTCACTTATACCTCTGGAACTTTCTAAATATTTTCTTATAATTTGAAATAAAAATTTAAAAATATATATTTTATCTATTTTTTACAGAGAGGAAACATCAATGAGAAACATCCACCAGTTGTGGATGTGCCCGCAACCAAGGTACATGCCCTTGACTGGAATCGAACCTGGGATCTTTCAGTCTGCAAGCCGATGCTCTATCCACTGAGCCAAACTGGTTTCATCTTGAAATTTTTTATTAAATTATCTGTGTACATATCTTACCATTGAAATGAAATTTTACAAATGGTTCTTTCCCTATCATTTTTAACTGAGAAGCAGAAAAAAAGTCAGTTTACAGGAACTTTAGATTTTTTTACTTATCCCACTGTGCATCTTCAGTGACAGGATTTTTATGAGACTGAAGTGCTACCTACTGCGCTAACGAGGCACCTCAGTGACAGGATTTTTAAAAAGTTGTAGATGGCTTGTCAGGGAGCATTATGCAGTCTTTTCCATAAAGTTCTCCAGAACACGGGAAATGAGAGCCTTTGCACCCAATACTGGCTTCCTGCTGATAAAGGACTAATAAAGAAGTTAGCTAGCTAGCCAACCATGGACATTAGTTATGTTTTTAGGATAATTTTAAGAACAGTGGAACTCTAGACCAGTGGTCGGCAAACTGCACTCAACCACATGTGACTCTTTTGCCCCTTGAGTGTGGCTCTTCCACAAAATACCATGTGTAGGTAGGTTCACACGTACAGTGCAATTGAAACTTCATGGCCCATGCGCAGAAATCAGTTTTCGGCTCTCAAAAAGAAATTTCAATCGTTATACTGTTGATATTTGGTTATGTTGACTCATGAATTTGCTGACCACTGCTTTGGACAGTAATAAAATTACTAGTAAGTAGGGAGTTGGCATGCATTTGAGGATGTCATCTTTGAGAAGCATTCATCAGAGTAGGAAACCAGTCATGAAACCAAAGCTGCTGCCTAATTGTGAAGGTTGGCAGGGTTGATTTTTGAGGAACACAAGACTTACAGGCCTGCTAGACCTGAGGTCCCTGGTAACTTATGCAGAAAGGAAATATCACATGCCAGCATTGATGGGACATGTTCACTTAGTCCTTTCATACCCCAATATGAAGTCTTTTGTTAATCCTCACATTTCTCCCGTGGATTTTGAGTGGAAGGGAAGGGGAGACGGCAACACTGATGTGAGATACATCCACCGGTTGCCTCCAAATGATTGGGACTGAGGCCAGGGATCAAGCCTGCAACCAAGATACTGGCCCTTGACCAGAATTGAACCCAGGACTCTTCAGTTCCAACAATAGCTAGGGAAAAAACCTTACAGTTTGCAAAGAGCTTTACATCATTGTTCAAATAACTAAAAGATGGGTAGAACGGAACAGTTTTATTCAATATGAAATCCCAAGCATTTGCTCAGCTAAGTGATGTCAGTATTCCCACCTTGACATGAGGGCTTCCTTTAATCTCTGGCCTCTCTATAACTTTGTGAGGTTCTATGCGGAAGAACGGAGATAAAACAAACTTCGGAGGCAGAACCTCCTTGTAACTCTTCCACTTCTACGAAGACCTTCTTCTTACCAACCTGAGCACCCCCCTCCCAATGGGATTGCTGTGTAGAATACCATTTGTATTAGCAGTCCTGACCCTTAGCTGGTGAAAGTTACTAGTAAGTAGGCACTTAGCATGTGGGTGTGGATCAGTCAGCTTTGAGAAGCATTCCTCAACTGCTTCACAATGGCCTTTTTCCTATGTAGAAACTGCAAATTTTAATTTATTTTCATTGTGCCTTCCCTTCCTTTCTCAAATCCCTAAATTGTTTACTGAACATGCATGTTATTTTGGAGGACTAGCATGTCCTGCTTTTCAACAACTTCTGAATATCACTAATGGAGACAGAGGGTAAGAACACAATGTTCCAAATGCCTCACACATTATAGATGCTCTGAATATACTATGTCTTACAAATCCAAGTCCTATGGTGCCCTCACATTTTTCAAAGTGAACCTAGACCTGGCCTGTATAGTTCGGTCATCCCATGCACTGAACTCCCCACTCCCCATCAGGGCACATGTGGGAGGCAGCCAATTATGTCTCTCCCTAAAAAAAAAAAAAAAAGCAGCCAACCTATTCCCACTTTACATTCAGTCACACCCCTCACCCCGACAAACTTCTTCATCAGGGTTGTGCTTGGGAATTAGCAAAGAAACTTTCTAAATCTGAGGTCTGGACCCCGTCTCCTTGGACTCATTCATGTCCAAGGAACAAACCCTGTAAATCATAATCCTCACTCCCCCAGTTCTTGCTGTAATGTTAGATGCATTCTTTGTACAGCTGTGTCATAGCAGAAAAGGTTGAAAGCCAGCATTATAGAAATGAGATCACCTTTATACAGGATCATCCTCAATCAGCAAGCACAACAGCAACAGAGGTCAGCTTTTATTGACTGTGTTACAAAAGAGCCAGTTTAGTCAAAAAGACCAAAGCCCATGTCATCATCAGACTCTTCAGATTCTTCTTTCTTTGCTTCCACTTTCTTCTCCTCAGCTTAAAAGGAGGGGGGGAAAAAGGTAAATTACACACTTGTATTTTGAACTCCAAACTTACATGCTCAAAATACCCCCAACTTCCCTCATCAAACTGTTTCCGGTTTTAGGATTTCTAGACATCACCTACTTAGTAAATTAAGGGCAATTTTGCCTATAATTAGTTACCTACCTGGGGCAGCAGCGGTGGAGGCGGCAGGACCTCCTGCTGGTGCAGCACTAGCTGCAGGGGCAGGTCCACCAGCCCCTACATTGCAGATGAGACTCCCAATGTTGACATTGGCCAGAGCCTGCAACACAAATGCATAGAGGTAAGTGCTCAGGTCTGTCCCTGTTATAATACCCAGAAAAAAAGAAAAAAAAAGAAAAAAAAAAAAGTACAACCCTTTGGACTTACAGTGACCTACACCCACCACTATTTATAATAATAAAAGCATAATATGCTAACTAGACCAGTGGGGCTGTTTAAGGGAGGGGGGGGTGTGTGCTGGAGCTGGGGGAAAGCCCGAGAATTTCGTGCATTGGCCTCCTAGTGTAAATATATATAAATTTCTCTTCCTTCTCCTTTGCTAGTCTGCCAGTGACAGCTTGTGTGCCATTCAGATTCCCTAAAACTTAACAACCCACACAGTATACTAAAAATAAGCAATCACAAAAAAATTTCAAGCTGTAAATCTCATACTTGCATTGCTATGTTTAAGCAGTAAGGTATAGCTAGCTGAATTTTTTTATAGATGAGAAAATTGGCCCCAAAATGCTGGTTTAAATTGTTAACACTCAAAGCTCCCTTAAGCCAGGTTTCCCCCCCCCAGCTCCATGTCTCTTCTTCAATTTTTCAGACTGCTAAGTAATCCTAGGCAATTTATTAAAGATGATAGAGGAACAATGTTTTCAATCTTTCAAAGCTCTTTGCAGGGCACAGGTGAATAGCTAGCATCCAGGAGCTTCACTTGCTGGAGATTCAGTAACCTGTAGAATGGAAGGCAGCCAGTGCCCAATTCCTTGGATAGGGATCTTGTCTTTTATCTCCCAACACATAGTAAATGGTCAATAAAAGGCCAAACCCAATTTCCAATAAAGCATGCTATCACACGACAAGGATTTGCTTGTAATGGCATGGGAGTTAGTTATCTTCTGGGTGGCCGCTTTAAAGAAGGAATCACCTGGTTAATTCTTTTACCATGGTTGCTAAACAGAAGAGAAGCCCATCTGAGACCAAGAAAGTCACAATAAAAACGCAAGGAAACATCACTTAAGAATTGTGTGTGTGTGTTTTATATTGTTATGAACACCTTACTTAGTAATCAGTAGGCCTACCCAAACGTACATCTCCAAATCAAGTTTGCCACCATCACCTTACCTTTGCAAACAAGCCTGGCCAGAAAGGCTCAACATTTACACCAGCTGCTTTGATGAGGGCATTGATCTTATCCTCCTAAAAATAGATAAAAATGACAATCATCAGAGACCAAACGGTAGCTTTCTGAAATGTCTCCAAAAAGTTAAAATAATTCAGAGCATGTGTACCAAACCATGTTTATTATGCAGTTTCGGTATTTTATCTGCCATCTTATGTTTTAAGAAGACCATTTCTTACACACACTGTGAGAGCACACAGAAATGCCATCTGCTCCTGTGTGGCGAGTTCATCGCTGCCATTTCACGGACTGGGAATTTACCCAAGTCAGGCTATTTTAAGATACGGGTCAAGCTCATGTGCTCTCCTCCACACCATATAGTCTGGACCCACCGGGCCCGCTAAGAGAACCAAAATAATTCAAAATGATAGTCTGGAATGTTAACTGGCTGCGGATTAGGATGCCCACGCGCCGCACAAGTTTCTCCAAAGCAAAGTTCTCAAAGCCAGAGCGCGCCATCGCCCATGTAATCCCGCCCCTCCCGGGTCCGGCACGTGGCCGAGGCCCCGGCCAACTCCCACGTGGGGCCAGCCGATGGGCGCCGGCCCCAAGCCGCCCTGCGGCTGTCGAAGGCCCGGATCGCGGCCGGAAGGGCCTGACAGGAGGCCTGGGAAGGCGGGGAAGCCTGCCGCCCGCCGGCCGTCCCCGCCGTGGGCGCGGGCCCGCACTCACCGTCACCGTCACTTCATCGTCGTGCAGGATGAGGGCCGAGTAGATACAGGCGAGCTCCGACACGGAGGCCATGGCGAGGGTGGGTGCTGGGCGAGCGCTGCCGGGAGCGGTGCTAGTCGCCGGATGAAGTGAGGGCCTCACCCCAACGCGGCCTTAGCTTCCTCGGAAGAACCGAGCACCTTAGCGGCAGCTGGGGAAAGGGGGCGGCGCGCCTGCGCGCGGGCACTTATGAGGGCCCTGCCGACCAATCCGCGCCCGCGTCTGGCGGAAGAGGCGGGGCTGGAGCCGCCCGGAAAGGACCCACTGGAGGCGCCTGCGCAGAAGGCGTGACTCGAGTTCAAGAAGTTGCTACCGGTAGTAGCCTGTGTACGCGCTGAGGAACTCCGTTGGTTAGGACTCGGGCACAGTAGTAATATTTTTAGGAAAAAGTTACCTACGTAAGTGGACGTTACTCTATAGGCCCTGTTGCTCCTGTGACACTTTGCCAGATGAAGTATCCTTGGCTGGCAGTTTTGCTTCATACTTTGAATATGTCATTCCGCTCTCCTGCCTGTAGACTTTCTGCTGAGAAACCTGCTGACAGCCTAATGGAGGCTCCTTTATAGGCCACTTTCTCATTTTCCTTGACTGTCTTTAAGATATTTTTCTTTACCATTGATTTTTAAGTTTCATTATAATGTGTCTTGGAGATGGTATTTTTTTAAAAAAAATAGTTTATTGATTTTTTTATAGAGAGGAAGAGAGAGATAGAGAATTAGAAACATCTATGAGAGAGAATCATCGATCAGCTGCCTCTTGCACACCCCCTGCTGGGGATGTGCTCACAACCAAGGTACATGCCCTTGACCGGAATCGAACCTGGGACCTTTCAGCCTGCAGGCCGACTATCTATCCACTGAGCCAAACCGTTTTTGGCGGAGATGGTATTTTTTAAATATTTTTTTATTGATATCAGAGAGGGAGAGGGAGAGATAGAACCATCAATGATGAGAGAGAATCATTGATCAGCTGCCTCCTGCACATCCCCCAGGCATATGCCCTGACCAGGAATTGAACTGTGACCTCCTGGTTCATAGGTTGATGTTTAACCACTGAGCCATGCCAGATGGGCCTTTTTGCATTGAGAAAGTAAGGTGTTCTATTAGCTTTTTGGACTTGTCTGTTCAATTTATTCCCCACAGTTGGGAAGTTCTCAGCTATTTTTCTCAATACACTCTGCTCCCTTCTCCTCCTGGTAGACCAGTGATCCTTATTTGTTTTTCTCATCGTTATCATAGAGCTCTTATAAAGTTCATTTTCTAAAAATCTTAGTTTGCTCTCCTTTCCTGAGTCATTTCTAAATTCCCATCCTCCAAGTCAGAATGCTTTTTGTGATCTGACCTGCCCATTTCCTAAGCTCTCTAATGCATTCTTCATTTCATTCATTCACTTTAGCTCCAGAATTTGTTTGCTTCCCTCCTTTTATTGAATTTATCTGGGTGACACTGATTAAGAAAATTCTACAGGCCTCAATTGCACAATTTTACAACATATCTTCTGAAAACTGTATTGTGTGTTCACCACCCTGTCTGCTTCTTTTTTTAAAATTTCAATCTTAGGCACAGAATGCCTTTTGTTCAATAATTTTATTCCTAAATTCATTGGGATGCCCTTCTGATTTTTCTAGTAGCTCATTGAATCTCTTCAGCTATTTTTAGATAGGTCAGTTAGATCACAGTATTCTGCTACCTTGGGTTCCAGTGCTGGAGAATTATCATTTTCATTTTGCGATATCACATTACCATGGTTTTTCCTGGTGTTTGACAAGATGTGTCTCATCTGTTGCATTTGAAATAGCACACATCTTTCTTAGTTGTTCACCTTGTTATACAATACAAAACAGGCAATTAGGAACCTTTTATTTTCCAGAAGGTGGCGCAATAGCTTAAGTTTTTGGTTTCTCTTTTCCTGAATTGGCTCTGGGGCTGGCTGCACTGGGGGAGGAGTATAAAAACGCTGGTGTAGAAAAATCTGGAGTAGAGTTAAGAGAAGTACAGGGCCCTAGCTGGTTTGGCTCAGTGGATAAAGCATGGGCCTGCGGACTGAAAGGTTCCAGGTTCAATTCCAGTTAAGGACACATGCCTTGGTTGTGGGCTTGATTCCCATTGCGGGGCATGTAGAAGGCAGCCAATAAATGATTCTTTCTCATCAGTGATGCTTCTATCTCTCTCTTCCTTTCCCTTCATTTCTGAAATCAATAAAAATATATTTAAAAGAAAAAAAAAAGAGAGAAGTACAGGGTTAGCATCTGGGGTTCTGTGTTGCCCACAGCTCAGGAAGGGGTCCCCCAGTGGGTGTACTTTGAGAGGTTTGTGCACAGATTCCTACTGAAACCCAAAGGTTTTTTTCAATACACATTATCCTTGTTTATGGCCTTCCCTTTCCTCTCTTTCCACACAGTCATGAAATCCCTCCTCAGTTACTCCTGCTACTGAAGAGAAATGGATATTCCCAGTCCCAGCCCCCATGATCAGTTACTCAATACTTTCTCCTTCCACTTCCTTTGTGAGAACGGTAGCTGTTGTCACTGCTGGTGAAAGCCTAGCTTGTTACCCTGTCACCTGGGGAGGAGGACTGACTTCTTGAGTTACTCCTCTGCCTCCAAACTGATCTCTATTCCATTTGATGACATGCCTGGTTCTCCCATGAGGCTGGCTGGATTTCCACAAATTCTCTACCTCCCTTGTGTGTTCACCTGTTTTGCACTCTCCAGTTTAGCTCCCCTCCTAACCCCGCTTCACTGCAAGGGGGGTGGGGCAGGCTTACTGGCTCCCTTGGATCCAAAGCCCCCCTCTGAGGTCCTACCCACCTACTTTTTTTTTTTTAATATTTTATTGATTTTTTTACCGAGAGGAAGAGAGAGGGATAGGGAGTTAGAAACATCAATAAGAGAGAATCATCTATCAGTTGCCTCTTGCACACCCCCTACTGGGGATGTGCCCGCAACCAAGGTACATGTCCTTGACCGGAATCGAACCTGGGACCTTTCAGTCCACAGGCCGACATTCTATCCACTGAGCCAAACTGGTTTCGGCCCCACCTACTTTCTGAAGCACGAGGAGGTAGAAATCTCTTGGGTGTTCTGGTGTAATGAGCAAAGACATTTTTGTACAATTATGAATGACCAATTAGTTGTAAGTAAAAAGGGAGAAAAAACTGGACTCATGCTGCCATGATACTGATGTGTCTATCCTATCTAATAAAGAGGGAATATCCTAATTGACCTCATGCCATTGCAAAGATGGCAGCGCCCACAGCCAAGGAGGAAATAAGCTAATTGACTGCCCCACCCTCAAAGATGGCAGCACCCATATACCCAATAAGGAGGAAGTACGCTAATTGACTGCCATGCCCTCAAAGATGGTGATGTCCACTCCCCGCTGCCCCCCAGCCTAACAGGGCCGGCCCAAGGCAAGGCAAGCCTCAATGATGGCTGCCCGGCCACTTAGGGCTGCTGGAGGCTCAGGTAACCAGGGCCAGCTGAGGCTTGCGCTGGCTGCAGTGGCAGCAGCAGAGGTGTGATTGGGCATCACCTTCCCCTGATCACCGGGTAGCCCCTGAGGGCTCCTGGACTGTGAGAGGGAGCAGCTGAGCTGAGGGACCCCCCCTCCAGTGCATGAATGTTCATGCACTGTACCTCTAGTTTATTACATATGGGTTTAAGTTACATATAATATCAAGAATTAAAATATTTCATACCTGGAAGCTTCAGTAAGTCACCTAAATTAATTTTAAAAAAGGAGGGGGGGGGGGATTCCAGGTCAGACACTGTGTATTTAAGGATTTGTTGTAGTAAAATATAGAAATGTTTTAAAATGCCAAAAAATGTTAAAACTTTTTTTTAGTATATATTTTATTGATTTTTTTTACAGAGAGGAAGGGAGAGTGATAGAAACATCAATGAGAGAGAAACTCCGATCAGCTGCCTTCTGCACACCTCCCACTGGGGATGTGCCTGCAACCAAGGTACATGCCCTTGACTGGAATAGAACCTGAGACCCTTGAGTCCACAGGCAGGTTCTCTATCCACTGAGCCAAATCGGTTAGGGCTAAAAAGGTTTTAAAAGGTTTGAGTTAACTTTCCTGAAACTTAAAGTGTGATATTGAGGACACACTCCCCAGTACCCTAAAGCTTGTGTATTCCATTGATAAGGATTTGAACTTAGACTGTTGACTTAGAGTGACTTTCCCTGATAACCATATGTCTGATGACATACTCCTCCCCTTCCCCAGAGTGAGACCGAGTGCTTACAAGTACCCATTGGAACTAATGTTAAACTTGAGCTCTTGTTATGCATTTTGTTTACCAGAATCTCTCTACTCCCCCCTGGACTGCCATGGGCACTTCAGCTATTTAAAGGGTCCCCGAACACCATTTGAGTTGATCGTTGCTTGATTACTGGACCCCTGGTGGTCGCGATTGCTTTGATCCCTGCACTGCACTGATGGCTCTGATCGCTGAAAGTTACCTTCTCTGATGGCTTTCAGTTTAGGTGCAGTAGCCCCAACCTATTCTGCTCAGCTCCACTCTGTGCCAGAAGACAGACGATTGCCCCAACCTATTCTGCTCAGCTCCACTCTGTGCCAGAAGACAGACGATTGATCCACATTGTGCACAGGAATCTCTGAAGGCAACGCTGCCCTGAAATTGAAACTTTGTTCCTGACCTGACCAGCCAGCCAGCGAAGGTGCTAATGCTGCCCCCAGAGGAAGCAGCCACACTCTGGGAGCTCCCTTTAAGCTGTACCCACTGAAGTGATAAAAGGAGAATAAATTGTATGTGAATTGCGCGGTAACTATTTGTGTGGCATAATTCCTCGGCAGTAATAATTATACTAATGAAATTGCCTGACACAGTCTTGCCTGCATAAAGTAGTCTTTTTGCTGGCAACTATGAATGTCCGAACACCTGCAAGGTTAAAGTTTACCTCAAGGAACGCCTCAGATAAACGCCCTTCCTTTCTCGGACAGGATTGCCTATGGACATGGCATAGCAGCAGGTTATGAATGCTGATTTGGGGTGAATTTCTGGTTCTTGGCAGGAGAAATACCCCCTTTCAAAGCCATTTCTTTGTGTGCTAAAACAAGTAGTCCCTATGTGAGAGAAAATTAGTGTTTTAATTCATTCCACTGTTTTTTTGTTAATCCTCACCCAAGGGTGTTTTATTCTCCATTGATTTTTAGAGAGTGGAAGGAGGAGAAGGAACAAGCATTGACGTGAAATAGACACATCAATTTGTTGCCTCCCACATGTGCCCCAACTGGGGCTGGGGATTGAGGCTGCAAACCGAGGTATGTGCCCTTGTCTAGATTGAACCCATGACCATTTATTCTGTGGGCTGACACTAACTAGTCAGCAAAACCAACTAGGGCCATTTATTTGTCTATTAAATTGGTTGGGGTGACATTGGTCAACATGAACATACAGGCTTCACATGTGGATTTGTTACAAAATCTCTATTGCCCCATGTGCCCACTACCCAAAATCTCCTGTCACCTATTAGGACTCTCTTATTCCCCTATCCCTTCCCTCTGGCAACCACCACACTGATGTTTGTGTTCATGTTTCAGTTTTATGTCCCATATATGGTTCTTAAGCTTTTTCTGACATTTCATTTAGCAAAATGTACTCAAGGTCCATGTTGTTGCAAATGGTGCCTTTCAATATTCCATTGTGTGTATGTACCACATCTTTACCTAGTCTTCTATCGCATAACACTATGGTTGTTTCCATGTCTTGGCTACCACGAACAATGCTACAATGAACATAGGGATGTATATACCTTTGCAAGTAAGTGATTTCGAGTTTTTCAGGTATATAACTAGGAGTCAGGTTGCTGAGTCATTTGGTAGTTCAATTCTTAATTTCTTGAGGAATCACCAGACTGCTTTCCATAGTGGCTGTACCAGTCGACATTCCTACCAGTAGTGAATGAAGGTTTCCTTTTCTCCACAACCTCTCCACCACTTACCTTGTTGATAATGGCCATTCTAACAAGTGTAAGGTGGTACCCCATTGTAGTTTTAATTTGCATTTCCCTAATTGCCTGTGAGGTTGAACATCTTTTCTTGTATCTATTGGCTGTTTGTATGTCTTCTTGGGAGAGGTGTATTTTCAAGTGTACCTACCGGAAGTTGGGCACCATTTAACTTCGAGGTCTTGATCTAGTATCTAGAAGGGTTCATAAAACCCGGAGAAGGGGCTGTGCGTGAATTAAATGAGTGCAGAGACTAAACAAATTTTGAAAGGCATTTGGGGGAGGGGCAAAGAGGCCGAGGAGCCTGGATAAAGAAACCAAGTTCTTCTCTTATCTCAGGACCCCTTGCTTTTTATTAACACAATTTGTCCTAAGGCAAGGTGAAGATAGACACATCAAAGGGTAGGGTTTAGTACAGAATCCATTGTCATATTGGGGAATTGCCTTTGGCTGTTCAGGTGTTTGGCTAACAGAAGGCAATAACATGTAGATTGAGATGGCCTGAGCTGTCTGGTAGCAAGCAATCAATTTATGTATCCTTTTCAGGTTTGGGGAAATGCCCTTCAGCCACCCCAGCAGGCAGTAACATATGTGACTCAGCCCTTGTTGAGTCCCCAAGTTCCATCAACCTTTCAATGAAACTCTTGTAAATATGACATGCTGGAATTGGCTTCTGGCACAGGTGCTCTGTAGGGCTCCCCTCCTCCCCCACTTTTTATTTTTTGGTTATCCTCACCTGACATTTTTCTTTTTTTAAAAAAAATATTTTTTATTGATTTCAGAGAGGGAGAGGGAGAGGGAGATAGAAACATCAACGATGAGATAGAATCACTGGCTGGCTGCTTCCTCTGGGAAACGAGTCCACAACTGGGCATGTTGCCCTTGGCTGGAATAGAACCTGGGACCCTTCAGTCTGCAGGCTGATGCTCTATCCAATGAGCCTAACCAGCTGGGGCAGGACAATTTCCCATGGATTTTAGAGTGGGAGAGAGAGGGAAAAGATAGAAATATCAATGAGAAACACACAGATTGGTTGCTTCCTGGACTTGCCTGACCAGGGCCTGGGCTGGGGAGGAGCCTGCAACCAAGATCTGTGCTCTTGACTGGAATAGAATCCGGAACCCTTCTATCTGCAGGCCAACAATCTAGCCACTGAGCCAAACCCACTAAATGCAAGGCACAACCCTAGATCCTGGAAATATGTATTATGACTATCACACAACTCAGTATTTCTTTTTAAATGACTGATTTTAGAAAGAGGGAGAAACATCAATTGACATCTCCTACATAACTCCCCCACCCCCTCAATCAGGGATTGAGCTCCCAAATCTGGGCATGTGCCCTGAGGGGAATTGAACCAGTAACCTTTTGGTGCATGGGATAATGCTCAATCAACTCAGTCACACTGGCTTGGGCACAGCACACCACTTTGCATTTCTTAGTGCTTCTTTTTCAATTCTTTTGGCATATCTAAATAGCAGAAAGTAAATATGTACATACAAAATAAGTTCCTAAATGGTTTTAGTATTGCCATTTTTTAAAAAAGGTATTTTTCTTCTAGATTGTTTAGAAAAAGAAAAAAAAAGACTCCAAAGAGGGGAAGAGAAACATTGTTGGGTTGCCTCCAGCATACTCCCTAACCAAGGACTGAATCTACAACCTGGGTATGTACCATGACTGGGAATTGAAATATAGTGGCAACTATACTTTGGTAAAAACTGCTGTTTGAATTGAAAATTGCTGGGGCAATTTTCCTGTGCCTGGGACCATAACCTTTGGAGATTAACCACTGAGTTCTGCTTCTGCAAGATAGGGCCACATTCCAATGTCCAGCAGGATATGACTGGGAACGACCCTGCGAGCTGACCCGTTTTTAGAATATAGTCTTTAAGATTTAGAATTTAGAACAAAGGAAAATTCCTGTGGTTTGAACTGTTGCAGAGTTCCCTAACGGTCAGATAGTGCAGGGGGAAAGTTTGGAGAGACTTGCTTTGTTCATCGCTCGATGGGCTTAGGGAGGATGAATTCAAATTCTAAGCAAGGTTACAGGCAGAACTTCCTTTTTTTAAATTAAAGAGCCAACCCTATGTGCACTTAGTGGTTATCTCGATGCTGGCCTTGAAAACAATACAGTTCTATCCAACTGAAAAAGTGCACCTGGCATGGTATTGAGATTGTGGGCATATCTGGTCTCTGGCCTACAAGGTCAGATAGCAACATTTTGTCTAGGAAGAACAGCAGAAAATTCCAAACAACAGTTTGTTGCAAAATAGGGGTTTTCCTTCTCAGAATCTTTAAAAAAAACTACCTGCCCCTGAAGTAGTGCAGTCGTGTGGAGTCCGCCTGCGTGTGGTGCTCTTGTGGCTGTCCTGGCCAGATATTTCAATAAATCTTTGCCTGCTTTTTTTTAACCCACCACACCTTTTGATATATGGGATGATGCTTCAATTGAGCCATTCTGGCCAGAGCCAGTCACTGATACCTTTATTTTGAAAGTTTGAATTGTCCAATATGTGTAAAGTGCATTCTTGCAGCTAATCAATAGCAGCATTTTTGTTTATAAAACCTTAAGAAATATTCAGCCAAGAGCTGGGAAAGTCACAATATAAAAGAAAGTATGATTTATATATCTTCTTCCTTAATCACTCAAGATAAACACTTTGCATGAGTTTATGAGTATACAGAAATATACAAAAAACAAAACAAACCCCATATCATTATTAAAAAAGTCCAGACAGCAATGAAAAGCGGGTCTTTCTTTGCTGTTAATATTAAATATGGTAAGGGGTATAATATTAAAAGTTCGTTGAATCCTAGATGTCTTCGGGAAATCTTTGATCTAGGCCAGTGCATAATGTATCTGAGGTCTGTGAGAGTCAACAAAGCTGGACTTCTCCTGGCATGGTTTTGGAGAAATCACCAACACAATGAAAATGTTCTCTCATTACCGAGACTGTCAGTTTATGGCTTCTTGCGCCTAAAATGCAAAAACAGCATTTAGTGTTGAATTTTGCTATCAATTTCACATTCAGGGAAATTTAATCTTTAGGAGAGCTTTAAGGTAATCCCCCCCCCTCCCCATTTTATTTTATTTATTTATTTTTATTTCTTTAAAATATATTTCTTTAAGATAATTCAACCAAAGGACTTGCATGCATGTATATGAGCATAACCAATGGATAGAATGGGGAGTGGGGGAGAAGGGCATGTTTTGGGGGGTGGGGAGAAGTCAATGGGGGGAAAAGGAGACTTATGTAATACTTTTAACAATAAAGAATTTAAAAAAAGATAATTACTGATTTTATTGTGGGAAATATTCAAGTCTTCTGAGAAAGCAAATAACTGTTACCAAGTATGCTTATCTTGTATTAAACTTAAAAACAGGACTTCTTCCCATCTTTATCCTGCTACAGCGATTTTATATATTGCCTAAGGAATACATGTGTTAAATATGAACACATGGACTTAGTAAAACTCCTTCTCAAATATTTACTAATATGGAAAAAGACTGTGATCTGGAATGGTCTTTAGAGATCATCCAAGACTCCTGGATATGGTTTAATAGAAGAGGGAAAGTATAAATTTCACCATTGTTTTACTCTAGTGAATACTTAATTGTATTAAATGAGCTATCATCTCTGACAAAAGACTTTAAGCTCCCCTCCTTATAAGTGATCTCAGTTCAGCCTCTGAAAGCTTTGACCATTGGCAGAATGTGAACAAGAGTGAGCCAATCTTCCATCTCCTGTTCCTGCAGCTCCACTTGCTTTTTTTTTTTTTTTTTAATATATTTTATTGATTTTTTACAGAGAGGAAGGGAGAGAGATAGAGAGCTAGAAACGTCGATGAGAGAGAAACACCAACCAGCTGCCTCTTGCACACACCCCACCAAGGATGTGCCCGCAACCAAGGTACATGCCCTTGACCGGAATCGAACCCAGGACCTTTCAGTCCACAGACTGGCATTCTACCACTGAGCCAAACCGGTTTCAGTTCCACTTGCTCTTATCAAGCCTCTCAAGGTCCTTGGCCCTGTTGCTGCCTACTGCAGTCTGCCAGTAGGCCCCGGTATTCCAAGGAGTAAGCAAAAACCACTTATGTCTCTGAAAAGAAGTGGATGGCAGGGAGGAGGGTGGTGTTGGAAGTACTAGAGGGAAAACATATAGGCCCCAATTACCCAGTACTCACTTGGGTTGTGCATGATGCTGATATCCAGGTCCCAGCTGAGACCCTGCTCTCATCTCTACAGCCACAGAGCACTGATAGGAAAATAACAGAGGAGGAAAAGATCAGTTCCTCTCAAAAGTCTATAAAACACAGTTCTGTTTAGATAGGTTCCATCAAGGTGAACTCCACTTTGCTTTTCTAGTTCAGCACAGGAACCTGTTAAAATACCAGTCAGGTACTGCAGCTTATTTGACATAGGCCACAAAGACTGTGATCTGGAATGGTCTTTAGAGATCATCCAAGTAAATTTCCTCATTTTAGATAAAGAGGAGTTCTTGAGAAATTAGTGGCCACAGCTTGCCTTGGCTGCCACCTTCATATATGAGCCTCTTCTTAGGAATAACAGTTCCACAGCAAAGTTCTGCTTCTGAGAGATTCCCCTCAATCTGAAGTGAATTGTTATCCTAGGGCAGCAATTTTCAACCTTTTCTCATCTCATGGCACACAAGCTAATTACTAAGATTCTGCAGCAATACTAAAAATACTTTATCTGACCAAAAAAAAAAAAAAAAAAAAAAAAAGGTATATACTTTTGATTCATTTACAAAAATAAATAATGTGATTTTTTTAAAAAAAATCAGGTGCCTACACATGTATGTAAGGATTTCTGGTACCAAAAATTAACCAAACAAACATATCCTTATTATGTGACATGACCAATAAGATGCAACTTCAACATTATTATATTACTATATATTTATGGTGTAAGACAGGGCTGCACTGGCAATGTGAGATCAGACGTCAGCTACTTCAAAGAGCATGAAAAGCTAAGGCTGTAGGGCTTAAAATATGACACCCCTAATTTTTATTAAGCAAACAAGTATTTAATTTTTACCCCTACCCTGGTTTCTACATCGGTCCATTCAGACTCTGCACCATCTGGTTGGGCAGGTGCTACTGTGGAAGATCTTCGTTTTCGACTGGAAAAAGGGGAAAACATGATGCAACAATTATTTTTGTATCTAACAACAGACGACATTAGAAATAGGGGAAATACCACTACAGTTTTTCAGAGAACAAAAACAGAGTATTTTTACAGGATAGTCTGTTCCTGGAGAATGAGCAGCTAAGAAAGCGACAGCCCTCTAAAGAAAAACGTTTGATGATCACTCACCCAGTTGGTGATTCTTGTTTCAAAGTCTCAATATCAGTAAACTGAACAGCTTGTCCGCCACCCCGTGTTTTATACACATCACCCTAGAGCCAAGAGAAAAGGTCACCATTACATTTTCATACATCCAAATGATAAAAGTACAGATATACTTTAAATTGACACTGCAATCACAAAACCAGATGGTGCTTGGGACTGCTTGGCTTATTCTATTAAAATACTTTAGAAATTTAATACATCTTTCTCACTAAACAAGAGGTCCAATGTGATATAATTAGTACCATTCTTAATTGCAGAAAATAGTATTCACTTATATAAAAATTATGCTTAAGATAAAGGAATTTGACAGAAATTTCTAAATGTTCCTTTCTTGTGTGCCATTCCCTTTATATTCAAATAACCGTCTTCTAAATTGAATTTGAAATTTAAAACTTTTTTCTAGTCTTATCTTTTACTCCCCTGATCACGCATTGACCATGTTCAGGGGGAAATTCTTCTACAGACAGGAAAGAAAGGGCTTTGGGTAGCGCAATCCTAAGTAATTTTGATAGGTCAAATTTTAATGTGGGCTTTTTATCTTGAACTGACAAGAAGCAAAGGTAGTTCTTTGTTTAGGTTAACTTTTTAAGCAGGGGTTAAAATGAAATACACATTAATTATAAGTACATAATAAATCTGGTATTCCTCTAACAAACCGGAGACTCTAAGCTTCATTAAATAGAAAGCAAATTTAGTCTTAGTCTTGGTTTACCAGATTCACATCCTAAGCAGTTACTTTAGTTTTGAGATATCATATACCCATTTATGTCCCAGTGGACACTGCCTGTGTGTCATCAAAGGAATGGGAGGGCAAATGGTTTTTTGTTGACTTTTTGTACATTTTTTCTCCTATACAAATTTGTTTTTACCTTAATTAGTTTAGTTTCAATCTCCCCATCGGAGGCTAGTTCTTGGTGGGTCAGCATGTACTTCTCACACTTAGCTAGTGCCTTTTCATTTGCAACAGACACTGTGATGGCATGAGGGACATGTGGCTGCATGACTGTTGCAGTTTGCACGTTAGAGGCAGGCTTATGATCTACCCATCTGTCTCCTGCAGAGCGTGATCGTCTGTGGCGGAGACGAAGTGGTGGTGCGTTCTGATCAAGTTAAAAGGAATCAAGAAACAAGCATAACCCAGAATTAATTTAAGGGTATTATTAGAAGTGCAGCAGGTTTGGCTACATTAGTTGTTGACAATAGCAAAAACAAATGTATGAACTTTTTCAAAAGCTAAGTATATTATTCAAATGCTATAAATGTCCTCTTTGAATTTAAAAACAAAACCAACAAGCATCTTTTAACACCAGCGTGTATATTATATATTCTACCAGGAACTTCCCTTTCAACAAAGAATGGAAGGAAAAATTCTGGTAATGCTGTTAGTCTTTCCTTAGATACTTATCTTAAATACTTAGTATTTAAGATAAAATCATTTCATATTCTTGATCAAAACCCAATATTTGTGTTTGCTATTGTGAGGTAATCTATTAGGCCCACAACTATGTTAAAAGCTTCAATAACATCAACAGAAGCCTAAACATTTCATAGATCTCTAAATAAAAGAGAAAATATGCCTTATACAAAGACAAAAAATAAAAAATAAAAGCTGATTGGGCTGTATAATATAAAATGCTAAAGAATATAATAAAAAATGCTAAAAGATTAAGAACCCCCATGTATAAAATGACTAAACGAGTGTAAATAAAGTAGTTCTGAGTATTTTCTGAAATTTTAAAATCTCTAAACAGAAGTTCATTTAAAAGTCAAATATAACAATGGCTATAACATATCCCCACCCCCCAAACATTTCATAAATGGTTCCAAGAACCAGATAAAGAATATAATGTCAGCCCTAGCCAGTTTGGCTCAGTGATAGAGAGCCTTGGCCTATGGACTGAAGGGGTCCCAGGTTTGATTCCGGCCAAGGGCACATGCCTGGGTTGTGGGCTTGATCCCCAGGAGGGGGCTTGCAGGAAGAAAATTCGAAATGATTTTAAACTCAATAAAATATATTAAACTCAATAAAATATATTAAAAAACAAAAAATATGTCAAACCAATCTCTATCATACAATGAAAAACTATTTGAGTCCAAGTCAAATGTCATGTAATTTGGAAAAATTAAATTTAGTATATTCAATTTGAGAAAACATATTTCACATAAGACATAGTTAATAGTTGGAAGCAATGAGTTATCTTTGGTAATTTGCCAATATGTTTGTTTGTAAAACTGAAAGCAAATGACACAGTGTACCAAAGGCCAAATCCTTCCAAACTAGTTAAGCATGAAGACCCAATATCAAAATGCTTATTTAGAGCCCTAACGCATTTCTCCTATATAATTAGAAGAAACACATGAAACACTAATGATACATCATGACAGCATGGAACACAGGCAGTACAGTTTGTCCCAAAAGATGCCCAAGCTTCACAGCAAGCAGGAAATTTTCCACTCCAAGACCGTTTGGCTCTCACGATCTACCATTTAGCAAAAGTGATAGTTTTCTTAAGCACATTTAGCAATAAATATATTCTGAAACAAGCTTCAGAAAGACCTTACAATCTACTACAATTTATGAAATAAATGGTATTTAAAATTTCATCCTTACTGAAGTATAATTTCAACCTTCAGGACATAATTTTTGACTAATAAACCTAAATGCATAGATACTAGACTAAACTTTTCTGCTGCACTTCTTAAGAGATTTTGATTTCAAGTGAGAAGTTCAAGTATCTCTAGTAAATCCTCTTAAATATCTCCTAGCCAAATTAGGTGTTAAATTAATGTTGACCAAGCATAAGCATACCATGAGTAGTTTTATCTGTAAGCTTTCATTAAATAAAGAGGATTTACAAGAGTTGATCAGAAAGACCAGTCACCATAATTTGCTCCCTAAAAAGGTTTAAAGCAGAATCTGCAGAGTACAGAACTTAAGAGACTTAAAAAAAAAAATCAAAGGCAAATAATTACTATAAGATTAATATGTTTAGAAGAAAAAAATTTAAAAGAGCTATATATTAAGATTTTACTAAATATAAGTTCACACTAGTAACTTGGTTCATTTATTCAGATTTAGGGGGAAACTTTACCTTCATCCTTAAGAAGAAAATGTAAATGTGAATTTATTTAAACACCCCTGATTGAGGCAGAGCCCTTGTAAACTGAAATAAAGGTCTTGAAATTAAAAGCAATTTATTGGACATGCAGACCTTTAGTAGTTATAAAATAACTGGCCTGAACTCTTCAAAATAGTCAATGTCAGGAAAATCAAAAAAGAGCCGAGGCCCTAACCCGTTTGGCTCAGTGGATAGAGCGTCGGCCTGTGGACTGAGGGATCCCAGGTTCAATTCTGGTCAAGGGCATGTACCTTGGTTGCGGGCACATCCCCAATAGGGGGTGTGCAAGAGGCAGCTGATTGATGTTTCTCCCTCATTGATGTTTTTAACTCTCTATCACTCTCCCTTCCCCTCTGTAAAAAAATCAATAAAATATATATATTTTTTAAAAAGAGCAGAGGACTTTATTATATTAAAAGAGGTTAGAGACATAACAACCACATGCAAAGCATTCACCTTGATAGAATCATGAATGGAAAACAGAAAAACTGTTACTGGGACAACTGGGAAAATGTAAACATGAATTATATATCAGAGGACATTTATTCATAGTTAATATTACCTTTCTTTAGTGTGATAAAGATTATGGTTATATAGAATTATGTCCTTATTCTTAGGAATAAAGTATCATGGAGTCTGACTACATTCAAAGGCTCAAGGAAAAAAATGTTTACGTAGCTATATAAAGTAACAATTGCTACATCTAGGGAAGGGGAAAAAATATACTGTACCATTCTTTCAACTTTTCTTTTGGTTTGAAATTTTTCAAAATAAAAGTTGAAAAGATAGTTTTAAAAAGTAAAAATCAAAAAAATAAAAGTTCAAAAGCAGTAAAAAAAAAAAAAAAAAAAAAACTAACTTGGAAAGAAACCATAAGAAAAAAAAATTTGGAGCCTGACCAGTGTGGGTCAGTGGTTGAGCATCAACCCATGAACCAGGTGATGGTTGTATTCCCCGTCAGGATACATGCCCAGGTTGCGGGCTTTATCCCAAGTAAGGGGGCATGCAAGAGGACTTGCTTTTATCATGGGTGTTTCTCGCTCTCTCCCTCTCTGAAATCAACAAAAAAATGTATTTTTTAAAAAAATCAGAAAATGTGCTATAACACTCAAATTCACAAGCTCATTAGCTTATGCAACTAAAAGGCAGATTACTCTGGCATGTGCCCTACTGACCTGACCCTGTGTTCACTGAACACAGGCATTAAAAAAAAAAGTTTTTAGTATTTTTTATTGTTATTATTTTAAAATCTTTTTTACTTTGTTTTTATTGATTTCATAGAGGGAGAGGGCAAGAGAGAAAAACATTGACTAGCTGCCCCCTACATGAAACCTGGGTGTGTGCTCTGACCAGGAAAGAAACCATGATCTGCTGCTGCATGGGATGATGCTCAACCAATTGAGCCACTGGACCAGTTTCTTCAGCTCAAGAGCTAGACCTCAATTTTGGGATGATTTGATCTTTCAAATGAATATAAAAATTAGACCCACCTTTCTGTCGAATTTTCTTTAAAAATTTTTTTAAATTGATTTTTTACAGAGAGGAAGGGAGAGGGATAGAGAGCTAGAAACATCAATGAGAGAGAAACATCGATCAGCTGCCTCCTGCACACCCCCCACTGGGGATGTGCCCGCAACCAAGGTACATGCCCTTGACCAGAATTGAACCTGGGACCTTTCAGTCCGCAGGCCAACGCTCTATCCACTGAGCCAAACCGGTTTCAGCCTGTTGAATTTTCTGAACCAAGTAATAAAAACACAAGATTAAATTCTATTGCTATAACGCTTTAAAAAACACTGGCACTAACCCTGTAGCATTGATCCTCTTCTACTTCTATCTCATTCCTGAATGTAGGAACCAACTCCCTGCCTTCAGTCCAGTACATCCCTCGCCTTCTGTCTGACACGATACAAGTTTTACTTTGTCCTGGCTCCTGCTGCCTACGCCTTGCAATGGATGTGACATTGGGAGGTGTGTTGTACGAAGGAATTTTCTGCTCCCATTCCGAAATACAGGAAGCTACTGAGATGCTGCTGCAAGAATTAGAGCGCCTATGTAGTTGTGGTTGGCTCATGAGTTGCTGGCCGTTGGAAATCTGAGCAATATAGTTATCAGAAAGCTAAAAAAATTGAAAAGAAATAAATGAGCAAGACTGAAAAACTGAGAGAAAGAATTCATTACTTTTCTATAATTTAACAAAAAGATATCATTGTAATTATTTGTATTAAATTACTACATTTTTATACTAAATTTGTGTTTATACTAGATTAAAACAATTAAATTGAAGTCTGAGAAATATAAGTAATATAAAACAAAAAGTTGATTCTCATAAAAACAGTCACCTAATCTAACCCTAAATTACTACACAACTACAAATAACGTACAGGTACTGGCGATGGAGAAACAGATCTTGGAGTAGCTTTTTCTCGATCCCGTTCCCGAGAGGGTCTCTCTGGCTTTTCAGATTTGGGTTCAGTAACAATAGCCTTCAGTTGTTTCAGTTTTTCATCTTTCACCCAGAGTTTATTTTGCATCTCCAATTGTTTAGCTGCCACTCGCCGCTCCTATGGATTATCAATAGCAATAGACGTTCTAATTCAATTACACTATACAAGTACACCACACTACTAAACAGTCATAAAAACTATAGTTCTCCAATTCTTCCTGAGTAACTATACTCCATAATGTTAATGAATTTCAAGGGCAGAGAAAGGAATGAACTGAATAGGCAACTATTACCACCACCACCAAAACCCTAACCCAGGAAGTCATTCAAAACACTACAATTTGAAATAAATCACCCATCTCTGCGATAGGCAGAGGGATGACACTCACGCATTCTTTCTCCCACTTCATTGTTGTTTCTGTCACCATGCCTTGCAATCTGGCTTCTAGTCTGCGTTTGTCAGAAAACTGTTGTTGAAGTTTTTGATTCTGGGCTTCAAGTTCCTGTTGCAGATTGCGCTTATCTTCTTCATAGATAGTAGTTGTTTTCTCTAAAATTTCAATCTGGAAGGCAGACCATTATGTTCAATAATTGGCATGTAAATATTTCATGTAGCTTTAAAACAATCTTTTATAATTTGTTTATGGCAAGCAGAATTGTGGAAAGAAAAAATCATAGATAAAGCATTTTCCTTTAAAATTTCACCTGAATTTACTTCCTTAATTCCTAGAAATGAGAACTTTTTAAACATGTTCCTCACTGAAAGATGAAGTTATAAACGATTTAATGTAAAAATTATTTTTCCCTAAAATTCAGGCCTCCTCCTCCTTCTTAAAATATATTTTTATTGATTTTTTTTACAGAAAGGAAGGGAGAGGGACAGAGTAAGAAACATCAATCAGCTGCCTCCTGCACACCTTCCACCAGGAATGTGCCCACAACCAAGGTACATGCCTTTGACTGGAATCGAACGTGGGACCTTTCAGTCCGAAGGCCGACATTCTATCCACTGAGCCAAACCAGTTAGGGCTATTTTTTCTTCTTGTCAGCCAGGTCATCCTAACAGTCCGAGTTCCCAAACACTGGACTGTTGCTTGCTTGGGCCCTAAGTCTTTAGTCACTGGGCCTGTGCTAGTGGAGGTTGGTCAATGTTGGAGAAAGATGTTGCTTTTCCTATATCTATCATGCCTCAGGCCCAGGTCTCTGGACAGATGACTATTGTTTTGGCAGCGAGAAGGGCACCACGGATTATATTGAAAGGTGTGTTGTACGAAGGTGGAGTCAGAACAGACCTTGTTTCATCGACCTCAGTAGAGTTCTGGCTAAGAAAGAATTCAGAGCCAACACTCAAACGATAAGACAGTTATTTAGAAAGTCACAGAGGTAGAAGTGAGCAGTGAAGAAAATAAGTTAGGGATGCAAAAGGGGCCTTTGGAGCTTAGGAAAGACAAAGCTAAAGGTCACATGTGTGGGTGGGGCGGGGATGGGAAAGGAGCGGTGTTCCTCCACAGGCAGAGTGCCAAGCCTAAATTTTTATTTTTAAATTTATTTCATTATTGTTTTTTAAAATTATCATCCGAGGATATGTTTCCATTGAATTTTAAAAAGAGACGAAGGGAAGAAAGGAGGATTGAAGGGAGGGAGGAGGAAGATTGCTTGGTTGCCTCTGTATACTGAGAGGGCAGGGCAGAGTTATCCTCCATTCTGTAATTGAACCCTAGCCCTCACCCAACTAATCAGGGTTAGCCGAGGCAGTGACATCACCACCGACCTGAGTAAAACCCTGGACTGGGCGAAATACGCCCATGACCAGCATTGACACTGCCACCTTTTGGTGTATGGGACAACACTCCAAACAAATGAATCAATCAGCCAGAACCTAAAATTTTATTTTTAAGGTTATTTTGGTTGAGATTAACTTATCTCTAAAATGAATGTTCCCCACTAAATGATCCTCTATAAATGAGTGAACAAGCATATACTGTTCCAGTAATAAGTTAAAAAACCTAGCTATAATCAAAGCTAAATTCTAGAAAACCCTTAATAAAGCTTACTTGTTTGGGCCAGAGAACAATTTCTTCAACTGTTAACATCTAACTCATAAAATTAAAGAGTATAACATCTCTTTTATGCTTTTCACTAACAATTCCTCTTTTTGGGGGATGGTAGGTTGAAGATTAGTAAATAACAGAGTGATAACTCTTAGCAGTATTTACAGACCTGGAGAGCATAAGGATTAAGTCAGAGAACAGGAGCAAATAGCCATTCTAATAGTCAAAACCAACCTTATATTCTAAAGTTTTGGTTTTTTTCTCCAGTCGTTCTATTTCCAATTTTTGTCCTGATATCACCTTTTCTTTTTCATTCAGTTTTCCTTGAATGGAGTATTCTTTATTTGAAACACCTTTGTCAAATTCTTGCAACATACCTTTAAAAGTAAAAGCTGAAACAAAAGCACACAGGTTTTGTTTATTCCAATTCCAAAATAACAAACACATTCATCTTTTTTAGCCGATACTATAAAGTCTTTCCTTTTGCACTATGACATCCCAATCCTTATGGGTAAATAACTGGCTTTAAAACAACAAATACAAAACCAGAAATAACATATTTATCCTAGGAACAGAGCCAAATGGAATCCCTAGTCACCATTTACTAGCTATGTAACTTAGGCAAGTTATTTTTCTGGGCACATTTCCTCATTTCAAAATGGGAATTTAAATACCACGTATCTCATACCTGTTTTTGGGTGAAGATGAGAATAAATTGGTGATGGTGCTAAAAATAGATACATTACTGAGCACTATGTACCAGGCTGTTCACTCTTCCATCTGATTTTCTTTTTTAAATATATCTTATTGATTTTTTACAGAGAGGAAGGGAGAGAGATAGAGAGCTAGAAACATCGATGAGAAAGAAATATCGACCAGCTGCCTCTTGCACACTGCCTACTGAGGATGTGCCGGCAACGAATGTACATGCCCCTGACCGGAATAGAACCTGGGACCTTTCAGTCCGCAGACTGACGCTCTATCCACTGAGCCAAACTGGTTTCGGCTTCCACATGATTTTCATAAATTATCTCACAACACCCTCTGAAGTAGGAATAATTACAATCCCCATTTGCAGACAGGGGACTAAGAAAGAGAGGATAAAATAATTTGCCCAAAGGTATAGTTATAAAGTGCCTTGGAAATAAGTACCTAGTAGAAACTACAAGTAGCTATTATTCCTTTGTGTACATCACTGTTAGTTTTAAAATGGGAAAGAATACACACCAACTTTTTTTGTTTGCTTTACTTTCTTGGGGGAAAAAAAAAAAAAAATCCGTGGGAAAAGTTTCTTGTCAGTCTAATTAAACAATGCCTAAGCACTACAAGTGCAAAGAGAGACAAAATAATCCTTTCTTAGAGATCCACCCCACTTCAGAACTCAGATTCATTGCAAATTTCTAGAGTTAAAATGATTATAAAAGGTTTTGGCCTTACATTGTTTAGTAAACTCATCAATCATCATTTGTCGTAGCTGATGGCGTTTCTCTAATGCTTCAATAAGCCTGGGGAGAGTCTGCTCATCATTGATATCCAAAATCTCGCAGGGCGGCAATGGTGGAAAACTCTGTAAGACCACGTCTGTAACCAACAGTTCTGTATTGAATTATAGAAAATTATTGAGTTACACAGGAGAGAAAGAACTTATTTAAACAAGTTTAACACTGATTAGAGCTACAGTCCAATTAACTGTGTTTTCTTACGTTGTCATAATCATACATTTAGCTGTAAAGAGAAAACCAGGAAAAAAATATGAGTTATCATATGTAACAAAAGAAGTCTCATTTATATACTGATTCAGATTTCTTTTTGCACTTGGTGCTTGAGGGTAAGGGAAATGAACAGTTTTCTTATGTGACATAAGAAAAGACAGGCAGACTAATCAGTGAGCAAATAATCTGATTCCAAAACATACCATCTCCAACTGGACCTGCCCGACCGTGGTTCCGGTATCGCCGTCCAGGTGTTAAACCACATATTGCCTTATCTACTGGTCTTGCAACTTCAACTTCCTGGGTCACTTCTGCAAATCTCATGACTTGCTAAGACACAAAACAAATGGGAGATTTTTGACTGTTTGTTGTTCTTGTTTTACAAATAAACCTATCTCAAGTCTTGACTTGGAAATTACTATGACACAATATTAAATTGGCCAATAGCTCATTTCTGTAACTGATGGTTCTGCAACAGTTTTTTAAATGTTCAAAATGTCATTCTTCACAGACAGTTGATAGTTGTTTTCTCTGTAGAAACCTGAAACTGTATAAGATAAATACATTAAAATTACCATGCTTTCTTCATAATCTTCAGCCTTTGGATTCACACACACGATCATGCGTACTTTTCCTTCCCCATCAAAGTAGTTCTTGAACAGGTGGGTTAACTTTGAATCTCGATATGGAACCATCTATAAATACATTAAACTCCAAATAAACATGTAAGGCAAAAAAAAGCATACAAATAAAACTATACACATGAAAGGCTGTTATTTACCTTGTTAGTTCCATACATTTGGTTTTCTCTCAGGACTTCCATACATGTTCTTAGCGTCATTAGTGATTGGTTAATGTTACCTAACAGAAAAATATACACAGAAGGCATCTGAAAAAAAAGTGTAGTCTGTTTGGCTATAAAACCCCTATTGCATACAACTATTAGGGTGGAATTAACAGATTTTAGTGGCTCAATTTAAAGAGCTGTCCATGCATGGTCTGGCAGTATTTTATTTTATTTATTTATTACTTTTTAAAATATATTTTATTGATCTTTTACAGAGAGGAAGGGAGAGAGATAGAGAGCTAGAAACGTCGATGAGAGAGAAACATCGACCAGCTGCCTCTTGCACACCCCCTACTGGGGATGTGCCTGCAACCAAAGTACATGCCCTTGACCGGAATCGAACCTGGGACCTTTCAGTCCGCAGACTGATGCTCTACCACTGAGCCAAACCGGCTTCAGCCTGGCAGTATTTTAATAGCATTTTCAGGAGAGGTTGAATACCAGCCTTCAGGGATTCATCAAAGAGACTCTCCAATGAATGCAATATTATACCTACTTCATGACCCATTTTCTTCCAAATCTTAAATTCTGTGAAATAGTATATTAGATGTAGATGTTTAAAGTTCTCATATAAAATATTATCTCTACAGCATGGCCATTTCAGGCTACAGCTGGCTCTATCAACACTGAAATTTCTCCTACACCCAGAAGGGCTCCTGTTTCTAAGTCAAGTGCCAGCTAATTCTTGTCCCCTCCACATCTAAACTTACAAGTATTTCTTAGGTGGCTTACTTGTTACTATTGACCACTCTTGTTTGGATTTCTGAACCAAGACAAGTCTGACAGATTAATCAAGCCTCCAATAGCACAGGAGATCTCACCTGCATAAACCCCAAAAGTGCGTAAGAATTTGTTTATTTTGGAACGCTGATTAAGGTTGATAACTCAATCATGTTTTCATCCTTGGCTATCCTCCCAAAACACATGGCTCATCTGTTCCCTCATAATATTCCATGATTCATGATTTATCTTCCTTGACCCTTAACTCCTGATGTCCTTTCTTCTACCACTGTGCTCTCAGGAACCCATATTTGTTAATAGATATTCCTAAATCCTCAAAGTTCTCACAGAATGATCCACTCATTTCTTTCCCTAACGGTCAGGTGCCCATATTTTCCATGCATATATTTCAGGGAGTCTATGGAAAAGTCACAAATAATTTGTTTTTATAGCACTTTTAGTTATTGCTAATCTCAAGATATTTATATTCATTACTACTTTGAAAGTATGTAGTTACTAGACCTACTGGTGGGTTTTTATTTAAAGCAGCACATAAATTACTATGTTTTAAGCATACTTTAAAAAAAGTATTTCAGAAGAGAGGATCCAAGATGGCTGCTCGGGTAGACATCTAGCCGCGGCAGCACACAACAATTTCAATGGAATACAACTAAAATGTAGAGTGGACATTGCCCAGAGCTACAGGTAGTCGACTGACTGAAATTTCTACAACAAGAAGGAAAGAGAAAACCAGAAAGAAAATCAGAGGAGCTGAAAAAAAGCCTAAGGTACGGAGACATGCTGCGCGCGCCTGCCCGCCCGCACGCGCGCACGGAGAGGTCGCAGCCGGAGAGGAGGAGAGGGCGGGGAGCCGCCTTTCCTTCCCTAGCAGGAAGGAAATAAAACCCCCAGCCTGGGCTGAACCCCCGAACCGGCAGCGCTGAGCCCCCCCCCCGAACCGGCAGCGCTGAGCCCCAGTTATGGGCCAGACCCTGGGGACCCAGGCTCCGGTGGGAGGAGACGGGGCCGTGAGGCGGAAAAACGGTGAAAGGCAGGGCCCCGGGAGTCGCGCGCAATGCGCGCAGAGGACTGAATGTTGACTCTGATGCTGGGTTGCCCTAGCCTGAAGAAACAAGGCCTCCGGCGGCGCTGAGCCTCAGTCCGGACTGCTCCGAACCCCAGTTCTGGGCCAATCCCTGGGGACCCAGGCTCAGGCAGAGGGAGACGGGGCTGTGAGGTGGAGTCCGGGAAGAGCGGCGAAAGGCCGGGCCCCCGGGACTCTCGCAAACTGCACGCAGAGGACAGTCTGTGGGACTCGCGCAAACTGTGCACAGAGGACAGTCTGTGGGACTCGCGCAAACTGCGCGCAGAGGACAGTCTGTTGACTCTGATGCTGGACTTCCCTAGCGGGAAGGAGAAAAAAAAAGCTCTAGGCTGGGGGAACGCGGAGGGGAGCAGAAGCCCCTGCCGGACTCCAGCCAACCGGGCACCAGCAAGGAGGCGGGCCATGGGGCCCCAGGGGGCGTGGGTGCCCCTGAGCCTTTGACCACTGAGCTCGGGCAATGGAGCCAAGGCCGGGGCTGCTTCCTGGGCGGCGCCGTCCCAGCAACAGGCTGAAGCAGCACAGGAGCCCGCGGAGAACAAAGGGGTGCCACAGGCCAACCTGCTGAGCTCCCAGGACAAGGAGGAAGAAACCAAAGAATTTCTCAATGTGAAGAAATCAAGTGAGAGCAAAAAAAATAGTAAAATTACTTAAGAAAGAATACAAAGAAGATCTTGAAAAATCAAAGACTAAGTCAGAACTCAACTCACCAGCCAACATTGCAACATAAATGCGTTTTAAAAAGAAAAAAAAAGGACAGAATGTTGGAACAGCGACGGCCAGGCCTAGAGTGGCCAGGCACAAGGCAGTGGCAGCCAGACCCGGAGCAGCAACGGCCAAGCCCCAGAACAACAGCAGCCAGAACCAGAGCATCAACAGCCAGCACTGGAGTAGCCAGACCTGGGGCAGTGGCAGCCAGGCATGAGGCGGAGGCGGCCAAGCCCAGGGTGGCCAGTCCAGGAACACCCAGACCCGGAGTGGCCGGGCCCGAAGAAGCCGGGCCCAGAGCAGCCGGGGTGGGAGCAGCCAGACCCAGAACAGCAGTAGCCAAGCCCAGAGCATCCAGGTCGGGAGTGGCCAGGCTCGGAGTGGCCGGGCCCGGGGCAGCCGGGCCCAGAGCAGCCAGGTCAGGTGCGGCCAGGCCCGGAGCAGCAGCTGCCAGGCTGGGAGCGGCCAGGCCCGGGGGAGCAGCCGGGTCTGGTGTGGCCAGGCCCGGAACAGCAGCTGCCAGGCTGGGAGCGGCCAGGCCCGGGGGAGCAGGCGGGTCGGGTGCGGCCAGGCCCGGAGCAGCGGCTGCCAGGCTGGGAGCGGCCAGGCCCGGGGGAGCAGGCGGGTCGGGTGCGGCCAGGCCCGGAGCAGCGGCTGCCAGGCTGGGAGCGGCCAGGCCCGGGGGAGCAGGCGGGTCGGGTGCGGCCAGGCCCGGAGCAGCGGCTGCCAGGCTGGGAGCGGCCAGGCCCAGGGGAGCAGCCGGGTCGGGTGCGGCCAGGCCCGGAGCAGCGGCTGCCAGACTGGGAGCGGCCAGGCCCGGGGGAGCAGGCGGGTCGGGTGCGGCCAGGCCCGGAGCAGCGGCTGCCAGGCTGGGAGCGGCCAGGCCCGGGGGAGCAGGCGGGGCTGGTGCGGCCAGGCCCGGAGCAGCGGCGGCCAGGCTGGGAGCGGCCAGGCCCGGGGGAGCAGGCGGGTCGGGTGCGGCCAGGCCCGGAGCAGCGGCTGCCAGGCTGGGAGCGGCCAGGCCCGGGGGAGCAGGCGGGTCGGGTGCGGCCAGGCCCGGAGCAGCGGCGGCCAGGCTGGGAGCGGCCAGGCCCGGAGCAGCAACAGCCAAGTCCAGAGCAACTAGGTCGGGAGCGGCAGTGACCAGACCCGGAGCAGCTGGTTGTGGAATGAACCAGAGCAACAGAGGCCAGGCCCTGAGCAGCCAGGCCCAGAACAGCTCGCTCCTTGCCTGCCCCTGCACCACGGCTGCTTCTCAGACATGGCTGGAAACTTTTGTGGGAACTTGAGTGTCTGCTGAATCAAGTGATGAAGGCTTAGATCTGGATGTGTTGAGTTAGTTTAGGACTGGGGTGTTGATCTGTGAGTGCCTTGGGTGGGGCCTGGATGAGGCTGGTTGACCTAGTGGGAAATGTCTTTTGTGTGAAGTGTATCATTGGGCATGTGGAGGTATTATTGATATGAGAAAATGCTAAGTAACTGATTTACTATCTGAAAAGGGATTTACTATTGGGGAAATTGAGGGAAGAAGAGACTGAACATAAACTGCACCTATGGATGAGGACAATGGGGGATGGGGGGGGGGGGAACGGAGGGTGGAGTGGGAACCTGGTGGAGGGGGGAAGAAATGAGGAACCTTTGTAATAATATGAACAATAAAGATTGCTTTAAAAAAAAAAAATTAAAAAAAAAAAATAGAAAAAAAAAAAAAAGTATTTCAACCTAATTGGTTTCCTTTATAAACCTCTGTATTTTATGTCATATATTAAAAAATATTCTGGGAAATGTCCACAGGCTTTACCCTGTACTCATGGCACAAAGCCCTGAAACCTTACCTTTATTTTCCTGTAAGGGTAGTGCTTTCCTCCTGCAGCACTTTTTGAGTAAAAGCTGCTTGTTTTCTGAAGCCCTACATTTATAAGGATGGTGAATAGAGGGAAGTCAGCAACATTTTCCTAATTCCTTGCTATTGCCTTGTAATATCCCTCCTACATGCCAGCTCCTGGGTCATTTCTATGTGCATGCCCCAACCACAATCTTCTTTTCTTATAGCTCTCACTCCCTAAACTTGTGTTTCTCATCCATATTAGCAATGATTGTCCTTCCTATTTCTTCCCCCTAAGCATCTGAACCATCAGGTTTAAAACAAACAAACAACAACAACAACAAAAACACACCCCATAAACAAATAAACCCCTCAGGTTTCTAGTTGTTCCCAATCCAACTACACCTCTTTCCACATCAGGTTAATCCTTCTTATCTGAATTCCAGATTCCTGATCTTCTTATACAGTAGTCCTTCCATATCCACAAGGGATACATACCAAAACCCCCAGTGGATGCCTGATACCATGGATAGTACCAACCCCTATAAATACTATATGTTTTTCTCTACACATATTTATTTATAATAAAGTTTAATTTATAAATTAGGAGAAACCAAAATGGCAGCATAGGTAAACATCTGAAATTGCTGCCTCGCACA